ACCGGAAGTAGAGTTTTCACTGCATGAGTCTCCGCATGCGACTTTTGTTTCAGTTGACATTTGACTAACACATTTAGCATTGTGGAATCGCGTCACGTATCCGATTTATTAACAAAAAAAATCAAAATTTACGGAACAGAACTTCAAACTCAGTCGTTTTCGAAGATTATATAGAAAGAAGGCCGAGATGCGCGAAGGAAAGATCGAAGATATTCTTGTTTTAACAGAAGAAGAGGAGAACACGCCATTGTTCGTCACTCCAAGGGCGAGACGTGATGTGCAGGTAAAGAAAAGCTCATATCAAGGAAAAAATTCATAGTAATGAGATCTTCTGTAAGAGCACTGTTTCACTCGTTCTTAGTTCATTTACAAGCTCGGCATCGCTTCGAGTTAAGCATCAAGCGAAGAACTGCAGAGAGAGTAGTAATGATTGTTTCAGGTCAGGGGGCGTTACTGGAGGCCGAGCTTTACTGATCGCGAACAGTACCTTGTAAAACGAACAAAAGGCGACCAAAAACAAAATATGGCAACTTTTTCATGTGATAAGTGCAGTAGTACCGTTGATTAATCTAGGTGTAGCGACAGTGATGATCAGTTGTTGATCGGCCTCAGTCGCGGGTTTTCAAGCGAAGGTCTCGCTTGTATTTGATTTCACCATTCTCCACCACCAATCTTACAATCTCTCCTCTTATCGGTCTATGAAATTTTCTTATTGCGAAACTGATGACATTTTTTACACAATAAAACACTTCATTAGGATTTTTCACGTAGTGACAGACAAGAAGATTACGCACGAATAGGAAATAGCACGTTTGTTTATCTTTCGCTCAGCTGTCACATTATCTTTGAAATCGAAGGACAAAGTTGGAATGAAACACAAATTTTTGTGGGTGCAAATCTTTTTTTCATGGCCTTCCATCTCCAGGATCGGCAAGGATTAATCTTAATCCGTTACACCCCTAACATCGCCATTAATTTTCTCCACACTGTTGTCTGTACGTTTTCCTAACATAGAAAATTTGGTTAACAATCAAGAGGTTCTCTTGTTGATGATCATTTGTTTATTCTCGTGACCTTGATGAATGATTCAGAGATGGTTTTGTTCGGAAAAACGAGAAGCTAGTCTCTCTGAATGGTTAGAAGGTTGATTTTTTTAAGTTCTAAAATTTATTGTTTTGTTGGAACATGACCCCCTTACGCTGTGGAGCTCAATTACTCCGTCGCGACGGAGATAAGGGGTCAATACAAGGTCAAGTTTAGATTTTTCCGTTGCTTACCAACCTTCATTTGCGATGAGACTTTCACATTTGTCTGCAGAAAGCAAAGTAAACTCGTGAATGAGTTCGAAGGAGGGGGCATTTTGGGAGGAGAGGGTGGTGTTTCGCTTCGTAAGATGTTCAATTGCGCCATGTCATTGCGGAAAATGACAGAACAATAATATCACCTTAAATGACGGAGTTACAGTTTTGAATGTTGATGGTAGGGTAGGTGGACAAGTCTGCTTCGG